TTTTAAACTGATTGCTTTTACGCCCATAAAGGCTGTAAAAGCAATAATTTCTCCTTCTCTCTGGCTGCATTCTTGCAGCCATTGAGAAATTACTGTGTGAGCTGTGATTGGTCACAGTTTGTCACATGGTACAAGACTGTTGTGAATGGCCCTGTACCATGTGACCTCTGTGATCAGTCACAGATTTCACACGTAGTAAGCAATGATGTCAGAAGTGACATCTTGCTTACTACTGTTCATGTGATCACTGATTGGCCAATCAGTGATCACATGACCAGGAAATCACACAGAGGTCCCGTACCGCAATCTGTGCTCCAAGGGAGCGCACACAGGCAATGGATGCGGGGGGGGGCGTTTAAAAAACTTCCACCCGATTTGGCAGCGCTCCCTTATGGCCGTTTATCTACATGGGCTGGACTGGAAGTGGTTAAAGTGCATGTACTCCCAATCACTAAAATCTCATATGAGCATTAAAGCGGAACTCCGGCCATCTCTCTGATCTTGCACAGTTGTACCGGCTCCTCTTCTGTAGTGAAATGGCTTACTCTGATTCCACTGCACACTGTGAGCTTCTCACAATGTGCATTAGAAGCTGCAGCAAAACAGATAGAGCTCTGCCTCTTTCACAGCCTGACTGTCCATGGCCCGCCCATTTCATTGGATTTCAGTTCGGTCAATCATGGAAGCTCAGGTTCACATGTGGGCGTTACCGAGAGCGGTCTGCATGCAAATGCAGCCTGCCTAGGAATACCCTCTTTGGATTGTGTTACATTATCACATGATAGAATTTGCTTATGTTATTTTTATTATATGATACCTCTGGTCTATGTAATATTATATGGCAACAATGAGACCACCCCCAAAACAGGAATGGTGTTACAGGTGGAGGCCACTGACATTTTTTCCCTACTCATCTTTTCTGACTGTTTTTCACTAGTTTTGCATTTGGCTAGGGTCAGTGTCACTACTGGTAGCATGAGGCCATACCTGGACCCTACAGAGGTTGCACAGGCAGTCCAACTCCTCCAGGATGGCACAGCAATACGTGCCATTGCCAGAAGGTTTGCTGTGTCTCCCAGCACAGTCTCAAAAACATGGAGGAGATTCCAGGAGACAAGAGCATGGAGGAGATTCCAGGAGACAGGCAGTTACTCTAGGAGAGCTGGACAGGGCCATAGAAGGTCCTTAACCCATCAGCAGGACCAGTATCTGCTCCTTTTGTGCAAGGAGGAACCGGATGAGCACTGCCAGAGCCCTACAAAATGACCTCCAGCAGGCCACTGGTGGGAATGTCTCTGACCAAACAATCAGAAACAGACTTCATGAGGGTGGTCTGAGGGCCCGACATCCTCTAGTGGGTCCTGTGATCACTGCCCGGCACCATAGAGCTGGATTGGCATTTGTCATTGAACACCAGAATTGGCAGGCCCACCACTGGCACCCTGTGGTGTTCACAGATGAGAGCAGGTTCACCCCTGAGCACATGTGACAGACGTGAAAGGGTCTGGAGAAGCCGTGGAGAACGTTCTGCTGCCTGTAACATGGTTCAGCATGACTGTTTTTTGGTGGTGGGTCAGTGATGGTCTGGGGAGGCATATCCATGGAGGGACACACAGACCTGTACAGGCTAGACAATGGCACCCTGACTGCCATTCGGTATCGGGATGAAATCCTTGGACCCATTGTCAGACCCTACGCTGGTGCAGTGGGTCCTGGGTTTCTCCTGGTGCAGTGAGTCCTGGGTTCCTCCTGGTGCAGTGAGTCCTGGGTTCCTCCTGGTGCAGTGAGTCCTGGGTTCCTCCTGGTGCAGTGAGTCTGGGTTCCTCCTCATGTGAGTCCTGGGTTTCTCCTGGTGCACAACAATGCCCGGCCTCATGTGGGGAGAGTATGCAGACAGTTCCTGGAGGATGAAGGAATTGATACCATTGAATGGCCCCCACGCTCGCCTGACCTAAATCCAATAGAACGCCTCTAGGATATCATATTTCGGTCCATCCGCCAGGTTGCACCTCAGACTGTCCAGGAGCTCAGTGATGCCCTGGTCCAGATCTGGGAGGAAATCCTCCAGGACACCATCCGTGGTCTCATTAGGACCCTCCCTGACGTTGTCAGGCATGCATACAAGCACGTGGGGGCCATACAAACTACTGAGGACCATTCTGAGTTGCTGCAATGACATTTCAGCAAAATGGACTCGCCTGCTGCATCATTTTCTCACTTTGATTTTCGGGGTGTCTTTGAATTCAGTCCTCTGTAGGTCGATCATTTTAATTTCCATCAAAAGATGGGGCGTCCTTACGTTCCTAACACATCACCCGTCCATGTCAGTATAGAGATCCAGTAGGAGATTTGTCCCTATTGAGATCCGATGGGTTTTCAAAGTGATCCTTTCATTTTTTGGAGCCGTGTATATACAGTACACTGTATATACAAAATATATATATATATAAAGTTGGGTCCCTAACTGTCTACCACATTCCCAGCTATGGGACATACATAGCAACACACAAACAGAAAGCAGGCTCCCCTAAAAGGTACCGTATTTGCCGGCGTATAAGACGACCCCCCTACTTTTCCTGCTAAAATGTAGTGTTTGGGCTATACTCGCCGTATAAGACTACCTCTCTTCCAATGCACACCAGTGGGAGGAATAGTGCCCCATCATTGGTGTCAGTGGGAGGAATAGTGCCCCATCATTGGTGTCAGTGGGAGGAATAGTGCCCCATCATTGGTGTCAGTGGGAGGAATAGTGCCCCATCATTGGTGTCAGTGGGAGGAATAGTGCCCCATCATTGATGTCAGTGGGAGGAATAGTGTCCCATCATTGGTGTCAGTGGGAGGAATAGTGCCCCATCATTGGTGTCAGTGGGAGGAATAGTGCCCCATCATTGATGTCAGTGGGAGGAATAGTGCCCCATCATTGATGTCAGTGGGAGGAATAGTGCCCCATCATTGGTATTAGTGGGAGGAATAGTGCCCCATCATTGGTGTCAGTGGGAGGAATAGTGCCCTATCATTGGTGTCAGTGGGAGGAATAGTGCCCCATCATTGGTGTCAGTGGGAGGAATAGTGCCCCATCATTGGTGTCAGTGGGAGGAATAGTGCCCCATCATTGGTATTAGTGGCAGGAATAGTGCCCCATCATTGGCATTAGTGGGCAGGAATAGTGCCCTATCATTAGTATCAGTGGAGGAATAGTGCCCCATCATTGGTGTCAGTGGGAGGAACAGTGCCCCATCATTGGTGTCAGTGGGAGGAATAGTGCCCCATCATTGGTATCAGTGGGAGGAATAATGCCCCATCATTGGTGTCAGTGGGAGGAATAGTGCCCCATCATTGGTGTCAGTGGGAGGAACAGTGCCCCATCATTGGTGTCAGTGGGAGGAATAGTGCCCCATCATTGGTATCAGTGGCAGGAATAGTGCCCCATCATTGGTGTCAGTGGGAGGAATAGTGCCCCATCATTGATGTCAGTGGGAGGAATGGTGTCCCATTATTGGTGTCAGTGAGGGGTGGAATAGTGCCCCATCGTTGGTGTCAGTGGGGGGGGGGGGGAATAGTGCCCCATCATTGGTGTCAGTGGGTGGGAGGAATAGTGCCCCATCGTTGGTGTCAGTGGGAGGAATAGTGCCCCATCATTGGTATCAGTGACACCAATGATGGGGCACTATTCCTCCCACTGACACTTGCTGACCCTGTTCTCGTATGGTGCTGCTGCAGCCAGCATATGTGGTTGCAGCAGCACCTCTACACAGAACACTTACCTGCTGCTCCGGCACTCAATTTTCACGGGGGCCGCTCGGCTCCGCCCCCTCGCCGGTGATTGGCCGCCTGTGTGCCTTTCCTGAGCTACAGTTCTGGCGGCCAATCACCGGTGAGGAGGCGGAGCCGAGCAGCCGCACGAACATCCAGTGGCCGAACTGAAGGAGACGCCGCGCTTCCTGGACCGGATCGTCGTGGGACTGGATCCAGGTAAGAGACATCAGCCCCTGCAAACCCCTGTACTTAATGCCGCAGCCCCCCCTAAACATGTGTACCGGCGTATAAGACGACCCCCGACTTTTGAGAAGATTTTCAAGGGTCAAAAAGTCGTCTTATACGCCGGCAAATACGGTATATACTGTAAATCCAATATACATAAAAGCCACAAATGGATGCAGCTCTGTAATCATTAATATATCTTTGTATTTTTCAGAGTGCCCAAGTTTGAAGTGGCGTCAGTATCTTACAATTCCTGTAAGCAGCACTCAGACTGGAAGAGGAGGAAACAGCAGAAGGAGAAAGCCAGTTCACGTGTGAACAAGCAACATGCCGATTGGAAGAGAGAACAGAGTGAGAGAAAGATCATCCCTGTGCTGCTTCTCCTTTCACAGTCCCGTCACAAGCTTGGGTCCAATGAAGCCTTGTCCTCTGTGCGGAAGCAGTGGTCTCTCTGCAGAGGTCAGACACCCCTCCCTGCTGGGTCTGTGCCAGACGTCTCCAATCAGCATGGAGCATGAGCTTTGTTGATTGCAGAGCTATAGGTCTAACTCAATACGAGGCGTGTTGGACTTCTGCAGAGAGACCGCTGATTCCACAAAGAGAAGAAGGGTCCTTCTTCACAGCATTCTGTAGGGGACAGGCGTGTTTGAACCCCTTTTGTTCTGATGCCCCTGGAATGTATTTAGGTTAAATTGGGCTCTGAGCCTCTAGCTGGGTGATTTAGCCCGACGGTGATCAGCGGATTTAAAAGTCGCTTCTTGTGTCAAAGCCTATCTTCCTATGGCATGTGATGTGATCAGGCTGGTTTGTGTTATACGTTTACATCATAGCGTTGGCTTACCGTATTTTTCGCTCCATAAGGCGCACTTTTTTCCTCCCCCAAAAAAAGGGGGAAAATGTCTGTGTGTCTTATGGAGCGGATATGGAGCGGCCAGCCCGGTATTCCCCCCACCGTGTTAGAATACCAGGCCGGCCACTCGGCTCTTCTGTGCAGCAGAACCAGCTCCTCGGTCCTACCTGTTCATCGGTCCAGCGGTGTCCTCACCGTCTTCTCTCCCCGACACCGGCATCTTCAGTGTGGGCACCCGGCTGTGACAGCTTGCGGCTTCACAGCCGGGTGCCCACTGTGCTTTGTGAATGGTCCGGTAGTCTTCTGGGACCTGTCACATGTCCCAGAAGATGGGGAGGGAGGACAAACTCCGTGGAAGTGGGAGCGGGTACCTGTCAAATTCGGGTACCCGCTCCCCATGGGACTGCAGTCTCTGGTCATCTCCTGTAGTACATCCGCAGTCTCTGTTCATCTCCTGTACTACGTCAGCAGTCTCTGGTCACCTCCTGTACTATGCAGTCTCTGGTCATCTCCTGTACTATGCAGTCTCTGGTCATCTCCTGTACTATGTCCGCAGTCTCTGGTCACCTCCTGTACTGTGTCCGCAGTCTCTGGTCATCTCCTGTACTATGTCCACAGTCTCTGGTCACCTCCTGTACTGTGTCCGCAGTCTCTGGTCATCTCCTGTACTATGTCAACAGTCTCTGGTCACCTACTGTACTATGTCCACAGTCTCTGGTCATCTCCTGTACTATGTCCACAGTCTCTGGTCATCTCCTGTACTATGTCCGCAGTCTCTGGTCATCTCCTGTACTGTGTCCGCAGTCTCTGGTCATCTCCTGTACTATGTCTGCAGTCTCTGGTCACCCCCTGTACTATGTCCGCAGTCTCCGGTCACCTCCTGGACTATGTGCGCAGTCTCTGGTCATCTCCTGTACTGTGTCCGCAGTCTCTGGTCACCTCCTGTACTATGTCAGCAGTCTCTGGTCATCTCCTATACTATGTCCGCAGTCTCTGGTCATCTCCTATACTATGTCCACAGTCTCTGGTCACCTCCTGGACTATGTCCGCAGTCTCTGGTCATCTCCTGTACTGTGTCTGCAGTCTCTGGTCATCCCCTGTACTAATTCCCCAGTCTCTGGTTATCTCCTGTAGTATATGTCCGCAGTCTCTGGTCATCTCCTGTAGTATGTCCGCAGTCTCTGGTCATCTCCTGTACTATGTCCGCAGTCTCTGGTCATCTCCTGTACTGTGTCCGCAGTCTCTGGTCATCCCCTGTACTGTGTCCACTGCAGTCTCTGGTCATCTCCTGTACTGTGTTCGCAGTCTCTGGTCATCCCCTGTTCTGTGTCCGCAGTCTTTGGTCATCTCCTGTACTGTCTGCAGTCTCTGGTCATCTCCTGTACTGTGTTCGCAGTCTCTGGTCACCTCCTGGACTATGTCCGCAGTCTCTGGTCATCTCCTGTACTGTGTCTGCAGTCTCTGGTCATCCCCTGTACTAATTCCCCAGTCTCTGGTTATCTCCTGTAGTATGTCCGCAGTCTCTGGTCATCTCCCCTGTAGTATGTCCGCAGTCTCTGGTCATCTCCTGTACTATGTCCGCAGTCTCTGGTCATCTCCTGTACTGTGTCCGCAGTCTCTGGTCATCTCCTGTACTATGTCCGCAGTCTCTGGTCATCTCCTGTACTATGTCCGCAGTCTCTGGTCATCTCCTGTACTGTGTCCGCAGTCTCTGGTCATCTCCTGTACTATGTCCGCAGTCTCTGGTCATCTCCTGTACTATGTCCGCAGTCTCTGGTCATCTCCTGTACTGTGTCCGCAGTCTCTGGTCATCTCCTGTACTATGTCCGCAGTCTCTGGTCATCTCCTGTACTAATGTCTGCAGTCCATGGGTTCAGAATATTTTTTTGGTTTTCCTCCTCTAAAACCTAGGTGCGTCTTCTGGAGCAAAAAATACTGTACATAACATTTCCACATGATAAGGCTAGTTTGTGTTATATTAATACATTGTAATTATGGTTTTTGTTATATTATTACACAATAAGATTGGTTTACCTTATATTATTACAGTATAACTGTGGTTAATGTATATTATTACATGATACGATTGGTTTATACTATATATTATATCATATCTATGGTTCATGTGATATTATTATATGGCATTGTTGGTTTGTTATAATACTACATGATAGAGTTGGTTTACCTGATAATATTACATGATACCATTGGTTTGTGGTATATTATTTCAGCATACCTTTGGTTAATGTATAATATTACATGATGGGATTGGTTTATACTATGTATTATATCATATCTGTGGTTTATGCAACATTATTGTAAGGTAGTGTTGGTTTGTGTTATATTACTACATGATAGTGTTGGTTTATCCGATATGATTACATGATACCATTGGTTTATGTTATATTATTACATCATAACTGTGGTTAATGTATATTATAATATTATTATATGGTAGTGTTGGTTTATGTAATATTATTATATGGTAGTGTTGGTTTGTGTTATATTTATTACATGGTAGTGTTGGTTAATGTATATTATTACATGGTAGTGTTGGTTAATGTATATTATTACATGGTAGTGTTGGTTTGTGTTATATTATTATATGGTAGTGTTGGTTAATGTATATTATTACATGGTAGTGTTGGTTAATGTATATTATTACATGGTAGTGTTGGTTTGGGTTATATTATTATATGGTAGTGTTGGTTTGGGTTATATTATTACATGGTATGTTGGTTTGGGTTATATTATTACATGGTAGTGTTGGTTTGGGTTATATTATTACATGGTAGTGTTGGTTAATGTATATTATTACATGGTAGTGTTGGTTTTACGTAATATTATTACATGATAGTGTTGGTTAATGTATATTATTACATGGTAGTGTTGGTTAATGTATATTATTACATGGTAGTGTTGGTTTGGGGTTATATTATTACATGGTAGTGTTGGTTTGTGTTATATTATTACATGGTAGTGTTGGTATACGTAATATTATTACATGGTAGTGTTGGTTAATGTATATTATTACATGGTAGTGTTGGTTTGTGTTATATTATTACATGATAGTGTTGGTTTACGTAATATTATTACACGACGGCCTTGGTTTATGTAATAATATTTAATTCTAGCATTGGTTTATGTTACATCTCCAGAAGACCGGTTCACTTTAAAATTTTCACTGATGTTTCTCCTTGTACCATTCTCCTAGCCCCGATCTTGATTCTTTTGTGTTGTTCTTTGTGTGCGAAACGGATGGGAGGAACGGCCGTATTCCCATACGGGGAAGAAACAAAAGTGTGAGCAAAATAAAAAATGATAAGCAATGTCAAGTTTTCCGGCAAATGTCCTCTGCGGAGTGGGACCTGGAACAGCCTGGCTCCCCAGCAGAGCAGGGACAGGCAGAGACAATGAGTGTAATCATGCTCGGTGCAATGAAAAGGGCTTCGCCGAGGAAGCTGAAGAGTAGCCATCATCTTGGCAGATAAATCCTAGCCACAATTATTCATTCCGAGTCTCCTGACATGGAGATTAATGAGTTTGATAACCAAGGTTTCCAATGCGCAGATTTAGCCCCTGTTCCAGCAGCCTTCTCTTCCCTTCCCTCTGACTACAAACAGCAGCTCCGGCTACAGGAATGGAAGAGGAGGGAATCGATACATTTGCAGTGGTCATCAACATTTTTGCAAGTTTGCCGTCAGGGAAAGGGGAGATTGACTGCGAGATGTTGGGGATATTGATGTTGGAAAGGAATTGTAGGTGGAATGCTGCCAGGAAGGTGATTGGGTCTTCTTCAGATGGCCAAACAAATCCCAATCTGGTTGTATGATCTCCTTTAGATTTTCGAATGGCTACGTAGTACAAGAACTCACATAGTTGGATATACACTCACCGGCCACTTTATTAGGTACACCTTGCTAGTGCCAAGAAAATCTGCCCCACACCATGACACCACCACCAGCCTGAACCATTGCTACAAGGCAAGATGTATCCACCTCACCATGACACCACCACCAGCCTGAACCATTGATACAAGGCGGGATGGATCCACCACACCATGACACCACCACCAGCCTGAACCATTGATACAAGGCGGGATGGATCCACCACACCATGACACCACCACCACCAGCCTGAACCGTTTATACAAAGCGGGATGGATCCACCACACCATGACACCACCAGCCTGAACCATGGATACAAGGCAAGATGTATCCACCTCACCATGACACCACCACCACCAGCCTGAACCATTGCTACATTGATGTATCCACCTCACCATGACACCACCACCATGATCCACACCATGACCCACCACCACCAGCCTGAACCATTGCTACAAGGCGGGATGGATCCACCACACCATGACACCACCAGCCTGAATCATGGATACAAGGAAGGATGGATCCACCACCACCACCAGCCTGAACCGTTGGTACAAGGCGGGATGGATCCATGCTTTCATGTTGTTTACACCAAATTCTGACCCTACCATCTGAATGTCGCAGCAACCAGTCTGCCCATTCTCCTCTGACCTCAACAAGGCCTTTTCCTCCACACAAACTGCTGCCCACTGGATATTTTCTCTTTTTCGGACCATTCTCTGTAAACCCTAGAGATGGTTGTACGTGAAAATCCCAGTAGACCAGCAGTTTTTGAAAAACTCAGACCAGCCCGTCTGCCACCAACAACCATGTCACGTTCAAAGTCACTTAAATCCCCTTTCTTCCACATTTTGATGTTCGGTATGAACTTCACGAAGTCATCTTCACCACGTCTACATGTCTAAATGCATTGAGTTGCTACCACCATGTGATTGGCTGATTAGCAATTTGTGTTACCAAGCAATTGAATAAGTGGACCTTATAAAGTGGCCGCTGAGTGTATATTGGGAAGCTCTCAATATGGAGGCTTTAGGGACTATGGAACTAGACACCCCTGGGAACTAAAGTATGAAAACACACAAAACACATTCTGGTATGTTAACTCTCTCCTGTCTATTTTGGCCCTAATATGTATGAATGTGAGATAGGCAGGGACAGACAAGAGGTTGGCAGGAGGGGCAGCCGCCCTGGGTGTAGTGGTTAAGGATGCTACTCTAATCCATCTGTGCTCCAGCATGCTCACTCTCCACCCCATCTGCCCACAGCTGATGGAACACACACACCACGCATGTGCAAATACCTTGTAGCTCCTAGAAAGCAAGCAATTGGCCACACATCTGCAGTGCACACTCAATGCCAACCATGAGCAACCAGGGCATGGGAGCAGAGAATGGGTTCAAGGCAGTGCACCTACTTCTTCGACACGCATTAGGAATGGGGTGTTGTTTCCGCCTCCTTGGTTTGGGCAATGGATGAAGCTGTCCAGGTACTGGAGGTAGGGACCTTAGATTGTCGGCTTGAGGGCAGAGATTGACGTTAATGTACAGGGGCGGGCTGACAACTCATGGGGCCCCCGGGAAATAGGGGATCATGGGGCCCCTGTGTCCTTGCCCAAACTCAAAAAAGCCTATGAAAAAGGTACCAGAGGCATCTCATGGGGCCCCCTACTGACCCCGGGCCCTCGGGCAATGCCCGAGTTTCCAAATGGTCAGTCCGCCCCTGTTAATGTACAATATATCTAAAGTGCTGCGTAAATTGTTGGTACTAAGAAAAAAACTGTAAAAAAAAAAATCAAAATCTTTATGAGATGAGGAAGAGGTACACCTTTTAGCACAAAGTATCTTAGCGAAGGACACATTCCTGTCATACCCCCAATTCACAAAGCCTTGGATAAATAATATGATTAAAAATAGTTGGTTAAACCCAAGTGTGTTTTTGTCCACCACTCAAATCCTTTATGCTAAGTTTTCAAAACAGCCAGCTGAATCTCTTACAGCAGACCATTTTCAAACAGGTTCCGTGGAACCCCGGAGTTCCTCTAGTGCAGGGCTTCAAAACCTAGGTCTACGGACCACTTAGGGGTCTTCAGGGGGCAAATGAGGGTCAGATGAAAAACATAACCACTTGAAGACTGAGCATTTTCTGGGACATTTTGTTTACAAGTTTAAATCCGTATTTTTTTACAAGAAAATGACTTATATCCCCCAAACATTAAAAATATTTGGGGATATAAGTACAAAAAAAATACATAAAAGCACTAAACATTTTTTGTTTTTTTTTTTTTTTAGCAAAGACCTAGAGGATGAAATGGTGATCGTTGTAATTTTTTTATGTCACATGGTATTTGCACAGCGATTTTTTAAAAGCAATTTTTTGGAAAAAAAACACTTTAGTGAATAAAAAAAAAAACACAATATATACTACAGTACATATTGTTGTTTTGTAAAATATGAAAGTGGACTTTATGGAGAGTAAATAGATACCTAACATGTCAAGCTTTAAAATTGTGGAATGGCGACAAACTACATAACTTACAAATCTTTGTTTTAAAACTTTTTACAGGTTACCTGTTTAGAGTTTCAGAGGAGGTCTAGCACTAGAATTATTGCTCTCGCTCTGTCATTCGCAGCGGTACCTCACATGTGTGCTGTTAACACTGTTTACATATGCATGCACGATTTACGGATGCATATGCTTCCCGAGCACAGATGGATGGAGGCGCTTTCAAAAAAAAATGTCTAATTTTTTTTTTTTTTTTACACCTTTATTTGTTTATTATCACTTTTATTCCTACTACAAGG